TCAACATCGCCCAGCAGTTCCCGGTGTTCCTTCAAAACAGTCACATATTAGCGAAATTGCTCAAAACTAGTGCAAACGGTTGATCGAATCAAGAGACACCTTAGTTCCAACCTAAAGAACTTATTGTCACAGAAGTTACAGTGATCAAACAGCCATTCTCCATTTAGACCACACAATCCATTGTATATCACAAAAATTGACTTTTTGCCGTAGTACTACGAGGATTACATTTCACCATTGTTGAGAAGTGATGAGAGGTTGACTCCTTTGTTTCTGGGGTTCGCGCATGTATTTTATGCTCAAAGACAATCGGAGAGAACTAATGAAATCGGCAAAACCCGTGCACCCGTTCATCTAGTGCTTTGCTTGCGACCAAATCATCAACTTATGTCATGTTCGCGTAGCTTACATATCTACGGACAACTGCAAAGTCAGTTGAGGATTCGGTGAGAACGCGGCAATTTCCTTATTAAGCAAAAAGTTCGTTCCATACGAAGCTTCCTATCGCTTAATCAGGCTGCAACTAGTCCACTGAACACTCGTTCTTGTTATTATCAACAACTACTCAAGATTCTCTCTGCTAAAGGTTACTTCATAACTTTTAGGCAGAATAGACGGACGGACTGGTTTGCAACAAGTCACATAAATGGACAGACACGGACAGATAGACAGACAAATAGATAGATAGATAGATAGATAGATAGACAGATAGATAAACACATGGATAGAATTAAATCGACTCGTACAAACGGTTTTACAAAGATGACTTGCTTCGGTAGCGGTTTCCGTTCAACAGATGTTCTTCTTGTTGATAAATCATTGAAAATCGGTTCTCGTAGCTTGGGTGAACTGAGTTCTATTTCGCCTGTTCGCCGAGCTTGGCAATTTGTTTGCAAACGTTTCATCACCAGCCGAGGTGACATCATCAGTACTTGTGAAGTGGCATTCTTCTGTTTGTATCCGTTTGTTTATACATGTGTTCTTCTCCTAACTCGTGGAACTATGCATGCAGACATACTTCAAATTCGAGTATGAAATCCACGAACAGCTGAAAGGAACACCAATTGGATCACCAATTTTCGGATTCATAACCGAAGCCGTAATGCAAAAGCTGGAGAAGAAGGCACTACAAAGGATCATGCCAAAACTTTAACTCCGATACGTTGGTGACACATTCGTCATCTTGAAGGAGTCAGAACTGGAAAGAGCACACAATATTATCAATAACACATTCAATGGCATCAAGTTCACAAGGGAGACAGAGAAGGAGAAACAACTGGCCCTTTTGGACACTTTGATCATCAGAGCGCCGTCAGGAAAACTGGAGACAACGGTCTACCGCAAAGCAACGCATACGGATCAAATTCCAGACTTCAAAAGCAATCATCCACACAGCCACAAAATATGCTGTGTGAGAACCTTGTTCGGAAGAATCCAAACACACTGCAGCCCCGATATACTCAAGGAGAAAGAAGAAAGATACCTCCTCAAAGTGTTTGCTCGCAATGGCTACACCCGCAACCTCATCAAGAGAACTCTGATTGAAAGAAAGAAGGAAACAACAGACGGAGAATGGGAAACAAGAACGATCCTGCCGTACATCAAGGACGTTTCGGAAATGATGGTGAGACTGCTCAGATCATATAGACACCAAGTCGCCCACAAACCTACCGCCTGTCTAAGGAAACTTCTGTCAAAACCAAAGGAGTGAACAATGGAGAAGGACAAGAGCAGTGTTACTTACAAAATAAACTGCAAGAACTGCCCAAAACACTATATCGGACAAACTGGAAGAAAAATATCAACAAGGATCCGTGAACACCAAGCAGCAGTTAGGAGACCTGACGCACTATCTTTGATTTCCCTCTACGAAGATCAAGAAGGATATCGTTTGATTTCGCTTCAGTGAAAATTATCGATCAAGCCCGGTCAAGACACGCCAAAGAGTTTCTCGAAGCTTGGCACTCCTCAATCAACTCAATAATCAGGCACATTGAACTGGATCACCTGTACACGCCAATGCAACTCAAGAATTAAATGACGCACCAAAAATGTCTCGCCGTGACCTGAGAACGGGCCGAACCCACAATCAGGACGGATGGACAACCACCTCCCTTACCAACCTCGTCACCATGTACCAGTTTAACGGTGAACCTAGTAGAACAGAATGAGAACAAGGGACAAAATTGGTCAGTGGAGAAGAACACATATATAAACGAATGGATACAAACAGAAGACTGCCAGTTCACAAGCACTGATGATGTCACCTCGGCTGGTGATGAAACGTTTGCAAACAAATTGCCAAGCTCGGCGAACAGGTGAAATAGATGTTCTTCTTGATTGTGTCACGTTCGGGGACGACAAACTCCTGTCTGTAAAACCAATCAGTAAAATTCAATAATGGTTGAATCATTTTCCATTTCGGATTTTTCCAACACGGTTGAGCTCACCATTCGACGAAGTCCAATCAGAATTGTCCATCGGTGAACAATCGGTGATTCGTCAACATTTAAGTAGGCGCATCCTGAAAAAATACACGAATATGAATGCATCCGGAATGTGGCGATGAAAAAACTTCAAAATGTTTCCCAACACAGTAACCTTTGGTGAACAACTCGCTATCCGAATCCGGGTCGAATTATAGTGTACAAATTGAGTTATTCATTCTGTGAATAAATACTCCGCATCTTTCATAGTTTTCTTCGGAATGGGGGCTCTCAGACAGACAACTCTGCCATCAACTGCGAAATCGATCACTGCATCATGTGGAGCGATACACAGGCTGGTTCCACGAATAGACTATAGACTGAGTTAAAAATAGCTTCTTGATACACTGAAGATTGGTTGCTGACAGAGAACACGGAAGAAGACTGCCATTTGTTTGCACTTCTGGTCTACAATTATTCGTGTTCCCCAGTGCCGGTTGAGATGGCTTTTCTGTCAACAACAACAAGCGTCCTAGGTGTGAGAATCTAGCTATTATTCTCCCAATCATTTAGTCTATTTCACTTGATGACTTGAACGACTCAGACAGACACTGAGTAGTCATTGATTCATCAATTTTTCTTACCGGGTGAATGTTAAACACCAAAAGAAAGCGAGAAAAACCACATGAAATACTCATGTGAAATTAGTGGAAAACACCACAGAACTTCGACCACCGGGTATTGGAACTTTTCGTAAGAGTGTGTCATGTGAATGCCGCAATCCAATCGAATCGCGTTTTATCTATAGATAGGAATCAAATCAAGTCGAACTTGAACCATCCGATCTCATAGTTACAACAAGGTAAGAAGATGTCTGTATATAAATGCTTTTTGCTTCTTCAATATTGAGCATTGGACATCATTTTCAGGAAACGGAGAGTAGGAAATCGAACGGCTGTCGCCTGATCTAATGAAAGTGGAAAGAAACTGGATGGCGTTGTTGTTGGTGGTTGTGCTGGTGCGAGAGGGGAGGAGATGCAATAGCGACCAATTAAACTAAACTTTTGGATTCCATACTAATAACAATAATGGTAGCTTTTTTATAAATGTACTATACCTTTTTCAATTTAAGATATCACAATATGGAATTAAGATGTCAAAGTATCAATTTAAGATGTCATGTTGCAATGTGGATAGTACGATAGTGCGATTGCTCTGTAGTTTCACATTGTTTTGCATGTTTTGTGATTCTCTTGTCATAACGTGTAGTCCGTCCGTGTAGTGAAGGCACGCCTACTGTACAGTTCCTGCCAAGCACGATTTTTTCGCACAAGAAACGACACCGCATTACATGGAGATTACCAACCTCTTCATTGCGCTGGACCCAGATGGGCCATATCGCGATCAGTTACCACTGGAGAGAGTCGATTCAAGACTGCCGTTCTTACTGGTTCACACCTGTGGATACGGATCATGCTTTATTACGAGCCAAATTCTCCTTACACCTGGCAAACAAACACAAAAACGAAACTGACAAGGGGCATCTACGATACAACATCAGCGATTACTACAAATCGGCCTTCGAAGTAGAACCCTCCGATCGCCTAGCAGTTCAATCACCAGCCGAAAACTATCTTCACTAGATTTCGCTATGCAAGCAGCAGGATGGAAAACATATTGAAAAACTTTTATAAAATAAATATGCATTTTTCCATTATAGTTGTTCTTTCTTTTTTTCGGAGTTCTATCTCATTCGTAGTTAGCAAGATCGTTCAACGCGAGCCAGTTAGTAAAACTCCAGGAAGAATTTTGCGTTTGCCTATATTAGTGAATATTGTAATGCGTACATAAGACAACTTTTATTATTATGATTACCCGTTTACCGAACGGGCTTAGAAAAATAGTGCGTGTATCTTAGACAAGTCAAATGTTGGCCCGTATCCGTCATCGTTTAAACTTTTTCCATTCCGGACTCCCACGTGACGCATTGTTCCACAACTGATTCTCCTGTGGTGATGCTCTACCAGCACTTAAGCAGCATCGCATTCATTGCTCATCCGCCGCCTATGCCGGCCCGAAGATTGAACCGAACGACCAATCAGGTTTATTTATCAATCGGTCAGATAGTTCAGCCGCAACAAGGAACCTGGTGCTTGCCCAGCTAACCCAAGAGAGAAACCACATCTTGTTTACAGCCGGGAGTCTTTGACAGGCCCAGTGAACTTCGACTGCGCAGCAGGCGTGCCCTCACCACACGGATGGACTGCACTTGACAAAAAGAGCATCACAAAATGTCTGTACGCTGATCATCAATGTGAAAAGGTGAAACTTAAATAGACATGGTCACACCGCTTATCCAAACACCCATTAAGGTAAAGGTCACCGAAACTAAGGCACAAAATACGGTATTTTTCATGAATGAGATTGCGCTCGGCATTTCTTGCTTGCACAAATTATCCGACAGGGAGAACATCAGCATTTCAGTAGTTTGCATATTAAACTTTTGATTGTTTGATTAGTCCGTAAGCCGGTGTTTGCACAGCAGTGAACATATACGCATTTTAGTGGATTACTTCAAACACTCAACTCATCATCATCATCATCATCATCATCATCATCCGAAACATCATCATCATCATTGTCCCTATCATCAGCATCATCAACTGGATCATCATCGTCATCCGAATCATCATCTTCACCATCATCATCATCATTATAATCATCATCTTTCAATTCATCTCCATCGACATCATCATCCGAATCATCATCATCATCATCATCCCAATCATCATCAACCTCATCATCATCGTCATCATCATCATCCGATTCATCATCATTCGTTTCATCATCATCATAGTGCGAATCATCATTATCATCATCATCATCCAAATCATCGTTATCATCATCATCGTCATCATCCGAATCACCATCAGCATTATCATCATCATCATCATCATCTTTACCATCATCCGAATGATCATCATCATCAGCATCATCATTCTCATTATCCGATTCATCATCATTCTATCTGTAAAATAGTTGGATGGCCAAGTAAACAACTGCTTGGGACATTTAAATGATTCCAGTTTTTGTAACAAATTAGATCGAGGAATGGAATCAAATGCAAGAGAATAGTCCAGAAAAACATACCGAACAGACTTCACAGAGTTGTTCAAAGATTTAGTGATGAAATGAATGAGGGTGGAGACTGAGTCTAAGGTGAATCTATTAGGCTTGTAAGCAAACTGTAACGGATCACTGGGAATGTTTACAGACTGCTGAGGGCGTTTGAGGATTACCTTTTCAGTCAATTTAAGAGCTGAAGATGTTATTGCTATGGGACGAAAACGTTGGTAGAGGATAGAAGATTTGGATGTTTTGGGGATCGGTATGATTGTGACCGGCCTCCAACAGTTGGGGCATAGTAGAATTGTGAAGAGATTCATTTACAATGGGATTGATTGCCCCAGTTAGGGAAGCAGCACCAAATTTGAAGAGGGCTGGATGAAAGTCACCTGGGTTGGTAACTTTTTAAAAGTTTTAACACATCACAATATGAGAGTGGTTCCACGTTACAAACATTTTGTGACTAGTAGGCAGGAAGAATGCCCGACGACTGGTGCAGGGATGCGGCATTGAGATCATCAGCATCCACATCCAGCTTCGATCGTACGTTCTTTCTTCCACAGATAAGTCTGATACCTTGCCACAAATGTTTACTGTTTCCTGTCCGCAGAATCTGATTGGACAATAATGCGTTCAATCTATTTACTTCAGCTTTGATAAGCCTGGACAATTACCTGATAGCTGAAGCATCTTGAGACTTGTATGCACGTTACTTTTCCATTGTAGCGACTTCAGTATGGGAGTGTTTACGTTTCCGTTGAACAGGGCAGTAATTAAAAAGGACATTGAGTGTTTGGGTGAATAGGGGGACACTTATGAGGAGAGAAGAAGATGATGAAAACCATCGGGAGGCCTGTCTGAGAGATTCCTTCAGGAAAGAAACACGCGTAGGTGAGAAGTTACGAAAACGAAATCTGATGTGGTCAGGTCGGGAGAACTATTTGTATCCACTGTGTGAATAAACGTTAGATGGAACTAGGAGTAAGCAATGGTCGCTGGTGGAAATAGGTGCTTTTAGGGCTAATGAAAAAAGGGTTGTGTGGTTGGTAATTACTCTGTCCATTATAGAATTACCTCTTGTGGGAGAGTGGAAGAGATCTATCATATCCAGTGATAAAAATGGATAAGAACTAGTATGATTGAAGTCACCAACGATTATGTTTAGGTTAACATCTAAAAGTGGGGCAATAAAAGGTATGAACGAGTCGAAAATTGACATACGATCGGACTGTGTACAGGAAGGAGCTATATACAAGTTAGTCAGAATTGTGTGAGTAAACCGGGAAATTCTTGGGTGACATTGCATAATTAGGCCTTTTGAGCAGTTCTAAAAAGCAACATGGGACATGCCACACTAGGAAGCGTTAGCAGATGTCACAACACCCTCTTCGGTTTTTGTTCCTCCGGTTCCACGATCCTGCCGGTAAACTTGAAAACCATCTATTGACACTAGAGAGTCATCTATGTCCTTACTCAACCAGGCTTCTTGAACACAGACTGCACACGTGTTCGTATGAATTCTTGATCGGAAGACACTAGTTAAATCCGACATTTTGGGAAACAGGGACCGAGTGTTAGTGCTCACCAATGAGGGGAAATTCATCTTTGACAAAGGGGTTCAATAAGGGCAACTTGCCATTCTTGCGTCTTTTGACCCAACCGGGACAGTGAGAAACTGGAGTCGCACAAACCGATGAACCATCAAAGATGTCTTGAAACGTTTGAGACAAATAATGTAATCCCGTGAGTAGCGACAGCCCACGATATTGAGTGAAAATGTCAAAACTCCAAAAATGTGAGGAAGAACGTGTAAGTGCAGCGCAGCCAATAGAAGGGCGCATACGTGGTACAATGGATTTTCTCGAACGAAGCTCGAGGGAACTTACCAATTTTCTGTGCTATGCATGCTTTCATGAATGGGAGACTTAAAACATTTTGGGGAATCTGCCCCATGAACCTTGATCCGCTGTGACACTAAACTGCAGGGGCTTGTTGATCGATCACTACTTCATGGCCAAGAGAAAATTTCCAGCCGAATGAGAATCCACTACATCTAAAATAGCTGCGTTTGTGGTACAATGCCAACCTGTTACTCTCCCCGTAGAGTACAATACGTACCCTATAGTTTGGAAGTTCGCTATTCACAGATCATTCTGAGAGGATTGTTTGAACTCTCATTCTGTGCATCAAGGTGACCATTCAAGGATACGTTGAATAGGATAGAATGAGATCTGTGTGAGCAAATGCTTCTTCGCTGATGTCAAAGACAAAAAAACGTGACTATCATCTCGATTAAGACGTCACATTTTCAAGCCACATACTGTTTTCATTCCAGTTCCCGTGAATGAGACAGTTTTGCGAGTATCGGTTCTTGGAGAAATTCACACCAATCCATTCGATTGGATGAACCTGAATAAGCTCGAAACAGGCCAAGTTGGAATAAGATAAGTACATACGTAACAGAATGACGATCGCACGGATCATGGAACAGCGAGAGAGAGAGGGAGAGAGAGAGGGCATGAGCTGCTGCTCGAAAACCGAGTGATTGATTTGATAGAGTCCACAGTGTCTGTTAATACGCATGTCTGTCGAGAGGGTGAAACCCAGTTAAACGACTATCGAGCGTAGATGGGTTCCGATACTGCATGAGTAAGCAAAAAGGACCGGCCAATAAAGAAAGCACTAATCCGCGCAAATTTTAAACACCATGGGGGGATTGGCAAGCGTTTTGCCGGGTATTATAGATGTCTCTACATTGTAGACACATATACAAGTGGGCCATCCCACATATTTACCCTAATCATGTGGTTTATCACGTTCCGCATTTCACACATGGTCTTAAGCAGAGCCAACAGCTGACCACAGAGCTGAAATTTGTTTTGATGAATGAGTCTGAGAGTGATGTGAGTCAGTGTCTTCTTGCCAAGAAGTATGAAAACAGCGTAATTTGTAGGAGGCACTGAGCGGGAAGCAACGGCGCTAGTGGTGTGGTCTTACCAGCTGACAGACAGTTTCAGGTGAATATTACCACACTCCGATTCAATTCTGCAGTTCAACAATGTGGACTGTGGTTTTTATCGTATTTTACCAGTTGAGATGCAGCAAAATCTGCCTTGGCACAAATCCTACAGTCCCTAGCTTGGTTGCGCTCTCTCTCTTCAAGTTTATCTCGGGAAATAAATGTTTCAATCTCCAGTGAAAGGCAATGCGGTACGGAGCGGAACTGTGTCCAAGATGATATTAAAGCGGCCAAGACTGGTGGCAGCATTTCAAAGACCAACATGTGCGCTGGAATGACTAGCGGTTCAAATGAACGAGCAAGAATTGAGTTAACATGCCAAAGATTGTGCCAGTAATCGTAACAATATCATAACCGAGCCGCCGGAAAAAAACCTTTCAACTAATAAAAGTCTATGTATAAATATCAAACATAGAGAGGATTAGCGTTGGAATGTGGCTTCATTTAGCTCTAACCGAACGCTGGCGACATTAAGAGGTGCTATTTTAATTTGTTTTTAATCACCAGGTGCTGGGTAAATGCGTAGTTCCCAACCACCCCTTTATTGATCCAACTGAATGCGATTCCAACATTATCCCGGAATGTGTCAGAAAGATGTTTGTAGGTTGATCCCTGGACAGAAGAACGATTTCGGAACGTGGGTTCCCCCCCCCTCCGACCCGCCGTCCAAAAAGAAACGAATGCGCCCAGATGCACTTATTCTGTAATGGTTTCACGCGGAAATCATTTTGCCCAAGTGACTGTTTGTCGGACACGTGCACTGTACTCGAAAAAATTAGGGTGCACAAAAGACAATTCGCACAAACATGACAACGATAAATAACCGGCCGGAATACTGAGTTAAGCATTCAACAAGAACTACAACCTATTTCTATTTTGTAAACTTTTGCTTCGAAAAATGTCCACATATGGGCCAAGAATTACACTTCATTTCACCGGAAATGATGGTGACCATAATTTTCAAATAGATGCCCTTTGAGATTTGTAGAAACGTTTCACAGAATCGTTTGTTTGATTTGTGAGCATTTGAGTTAGACATGAAAAACTGTTCGTTTTCTGCGGATGTGGATGTGGGGGGAGAAGATGGTTAGCAATGACATACAGAACGTGGAGGTTGGATTGGAAGAGTGACAGCACGTGGCAGAAGAGGACTGGAAATTTTCACATACACACACACTCATTTTCATCCACGCAAAAACCTAACTGGAATTTATTTGTCAAAATGATTCATGTTATTGAAAGAGGTATACTACTTTCACTCGATCCATATTTCATATGCCCTTCTTCATTTTTGATCATTGGAGGTAGTCACTTTTGAATGGAGTCTATCAAGTTGACTGTTCAACAGAATTTCCTAGTTTCCTCCAATTCAGACCGCATCCTAATCACTGCCGAAACAGTTAATGTATCCCTGTTTATAATACTGGGAAAATGTTTTGACTGAATCCCAATCCCAACTACTGAGCGGTAATTGAATGAATTTGACTTTGTTCTTGACCACTTGACTTAATGAAGTGTAACCGTGTTCTACTATCAACCTCAAGTGAAAAAATATACTAACCTTCAACTGCGAAAAATATGACTTCGGGAATGCATTTTGAGAGTGATAGTTATCCAAAACCTCCCTTATTAGTGCAAGAAATTTTGCGCAAATTCAAACGGTAATAGAAAAGAACTAAGAACAGAGATGTTGGAGATAAAGTCGGGAATAAATGCGCTTGACCCACAGCTATCAATATAGAAGCATGACATTGCAAACTTAAATGTATTTCTAAAGTGAGAGTGATGTTGCACGAGTTTGGTCGAAGCTTTT